CCTGGCCTTGATTTCAAGAGACATCAGCTAAGGAAGCTGTTGAGGTGGGCAGTGGGGAGTGGGACCTGTGCTTTGGAGAGATGTTCAGGCTGCACTAGGAAGCCCCCTGGCTTGGGGAGAGGCTCCAGGAGGCCCCAGCAGGGAGCATTTGGCAGTGGATTCAAGTGATGCGATGGAGACCTGAATTATTATTTATTTGGAGACTCTGCCTCTAAATGAATAAACAAATAAAACAGACGGAATAATAAGCAAAATATATTTTACCATAAAAATACACTCTCAAAGAATACACGAATGACAGATCCATTATGCCATTCTTACAAGCCCAAAAGGATTTTTAAAAGAAAATAACAATGTAAAATACTATGAACAAACACACTTGAAAGGTACGTCCTCTTAAAGATAGGTAAAAATTAAACCCCACATAATCCAGTAGTACATTTTCCCTGGGGATAACTATAGATTTGCATGGATACATTCACAAGGAATAACTGTGTGTCTGGCAAGTTAGGTAACCTTTCTCTGATGTCATTTTCTCGTCTGTCCTTAGACACTCAGATTCTAGGTCGTGGTTAGGTAATGACTGCTGTTCACCTCTCCAGACCCAGCACCAGTCACTGCCACCTGGATGGTGTGGGAAACACCAGACCCCGCCCTGGTGCCTCCTGGAGCCAAAAGGGCATTGCCTTTCCTCCCTGCCCGGAAGCTCAGCACATTGCTGCAGGGATGCTAGGTGCTGTGGGGCAGAGTGGAACCGAGTCCAAATCATTCTGCTCACTGCACTGCAGCCAAGAAATCTAGAGAGAGAAAAGTGATTTCATTTTGGAGAGCCAGCAAACCAAGAACATGATGGGTGGATGTCCTACACAGCCATCTTAAAAGGCATGAATCTCAGGCAGGCAGATCATGACATTAGGAGTTCGAGAGCAGCCTAGCCAACATGGTGAAACCACGTCTCTACTAGAAATACAAAAACTAGCCACGCATGGTGGTGCATGCCTGTAATCCCAGCTACTTGGGAGGCCGAGGCAGGAGAATCGCTTGAACCAGGGATGAGGAGGTTGCAGTGAGCAGAGATCATGCCACTGCACCACTGTACTCCAGCCTGGGTAAAAGAGCAAGACTTCGTCTCAAAACTAACAAACAAAAAACAAACAAACAAAAAACAGGCATGAATATAGAGGCCAGGTGTGGAGGCCTATAATCCCAGCATTGTGGGAGGCCAAGGTGGGAGAATCACGTGAGCACATTAGTCTGAAACCAGCCTGGGCAACATGGGGAAACCCTGCCTCTACCAAAAACAAAACAAAACAGAACTTAGCTGGGCATGGTGGCGTGCACCTGTGGTCCCAGCTACTCGGGAGGCTTAGGCAGGAGGATCACTTGAGTCTGGGAGGCAGAAGTTGCAGTGACCCTTGATCACACCACTCCTTCTAGCCTGAGTGACAGAGCCAGAAAAAAATACAAATAAACTGAAAGCTTCCTTTGATATTGGGGAAAGGGGAACAAGGAGAGGGCTCAGGTCAGGAGGCGACTGGTCACCACAGACAAGTGGATGTTGGCGGGAATCTGGGTTTTGGTGGGAGTCCGAGGAGGTTGCCAAACTTTTTTTTCTTCTTCTTTTTTTTTGAGATGGAGTTTTGCTCTTGCCGCCAAAGGCTGGAGTGCAATGGTGGCACAATCTCGGCCCACGGCAAACTCTGCTTCCCAGGCTCAAATGATTCTCCTCCCTCAGCCTCCCGAGTAGCTGGGATTACAGGCTCCTGCCACCACACCAAGCTAATTTTTGTATTTTTACTAGAGACACGGTTTCACCATGTTGCCAGGATGGTCTCGAATTCCTGACCTCAGGTGATCCCCCCACCTCGGCCTCCAAGTGCTGGGATTTCAGGCTGGTGCTGCCTGGCGGAAGGCTGCTAAACTTCTTCATCCTTGGTCAGGTCACAAAGGTCCTCCACATCTTTAACACATCCTTGTTTTTTTGTTTGTTTTTGAGACAAAGTCTCACTCTGTCACCAGACTGGAGTGCAGTGGTGGCAGGATCTCGGCTCACTGCCACCTCCGCCTCACGGGTTCAAGTGATTCTCCTGCCACAGCCGCCCAAGTAGCTGTTACTACAGGCACATGCCACCATACACAGCTAGTTTTTGTATTTTTAGTAGAGACAGGGTTTCATCATCTTGGCCTGGATGGTTCGTGATCTGCCTGCCTCAGTCTCCCAGAGTGCTGGGATTACGGGGATGAGCTGGGAAGAGAGGGATGCGGAGACCGTGAAGATGCTTTTGGACAATGGTCTGAGGTTGGGACAGTGGCAGGAGACACCACTGACCCCAGGACACCATTTACTCCAGGAGATCCAGACACTATTGACCCTGGATCTCCAGGACAAGAGACCAGCCTGGCAGTTACATGTGTTTTTCTTCAAACTGGTTGCCAGGTTGGAATGACCGATGACATCAGAGATTCCAGCCTTCCCGATTGGACCGCACTCTGTGGGCGCTGGGAAACCCAGGTGCACAACAGCATCTTCTCAGAGCTGTTCTCCACTCCTAACTTCTCCCGAGCCTTGAGAAGAGATAACACATTTTTACTGGTCCTAATAGAGTGTGGAAGAAGGCTTTGGACAGAACAGGCACCAGGTTCCGTGGGAGGGAACAGAGTTTGGGAGACGTCATGGCCAGGTGTCAACTGCAGCCGCAGCTTCATGAGAGGAGCCCCCAGCCTAGCACCTCGGGGTACTCCCTCCTGGAGGTGATAGATAATGAAGTAACAGGACCATCAGGTGAGGGGACTGGAGGAAGAAGAGATGGGAGGGGATTGGCTAAGAAGAAGGAAGGGGGCCGGGCAAGGTGGCTCACACCTGTAATACCAGCATTATAGGACGATGAGGTTGGGTGGATCACCTGAGGTCAGGAGTCAGAGATAAGCCTGGCCAATACAGTGAAAGTTTGTCTCTACTAAAATAAAAACATTAGCTGGGTGGTAGTGGTGCATGCCTGTAATCACAGCTACTTGGGAGGCTGAGGTATGAGAATCGCTTGAGCCTGGGAGGCTGAGGTTGCAGTGAGCCGAGATCGCGCCCATGCACTGCAGTCTGAGTGAAAGACTGAGACCCTGTTTCAAAAAACAAGAAGGGCCCACAAGTCAGGAAGAAGCTCCTGAGGAGGGTGTGTGGGAAGACAGTGGGGACTCAGGCCGGGTGCAGTGGCTCACACCTGTAATCCCAGCACACTGGGAGGCTGAGGCAGGCGGATCACTTAAAAACAGGAGTTTGAGACAGCCTGGCCAACATATTGAAACCCCATTTCTACAAAAAGTACAAAAATGACAGGGGCTTTATGGCGGGCACCTGTAAGCCGAGCTACTTGGGAGGCTGAGGCAAGAGAATCACTGGAACCCAGGAGATGAAGGTTGCAG